CCTGGCCGAGTCCGGCCAGCGAGCTGCCAACGTCCTGCTCTCGCTGGACGAGACCTACGCAGACATCCTGCCCGTGCAGACCAGCGCTGGGGGCACGACGGCCTTCGTGTGAGTGCCTCCTCCTCCTCCTCCTCCTCCTCCTGCGAGTCCCTGCGGCTCCGGGCTGGCAGAGGGCGGGGTGGGGGGGGGTTCACTGGCACCCGGCAGCCCGAGCTGTGAGTCTGCCAGACCCCGTCTTCCTGCCTCTCTGCTGCCTGGCAGCCCTGAGCCCTGGCTCTCTGTGGGCATCTCCTGCTCTCCTCTGGCCACAACGCTTGTCAGAGCCTGCCGCTGCACCCAGCGCTTCCTGTGTCTGCCTCCCTCAGCCCCTGCCTCCTGCTAGGTCCTGCCCCAGGTTCTCCTGTTTAATTCTTCTAATCCTCCATGCCTTGTGCCTTCTGTTGGTTCTGTTTCCATCTGTTTAGTTTTGATAACAAACATGAAGTCGGGCTCTGCTCAGGAGCTGGAAGGACAGTCCCACTCTGCAGGAGCAGGCTGCAGAAGCACCTTCTGTCCCTGCCAGGTTGCAGTGCAAGGCTGGGCCTCGTTACAGGCTCTCTAGGGGCCTTGGGCAGGGGCATGGAAAGCCTGTCTAGGGGCCTTGGGCAGGCGCATGGAAAGCCTGGAGGTGTTAGGTGGGGGCAAGCAGCAGCAGCAGCTCTGGGTGGCGTGGGGCTGAGGGGTGGGCAGAGGGCACGATGTGACACGGGTGGTTCTTCAGAGTGATTGTGGTTTGACCTTTGGCTTCACCTCTCTGCAGATCCATCATGAGGGGCTGTGACAACATGTGTAGCTACTGCATCGTGCCCTTCACCCGGGGCCGGGAGAGGAGCCGGCCCCTGGCCTCCATCCTGCAGGAGGTGCGGATGCTCTCGGACCAGGTGAGGCAGAGCCTCCTCCCCACCACCCCAGCCCGTGGTCGCTGGGAGTATTCTCAGTGCAACCTCTGACCAGTGACACTGCTCTGCCTGTGCAGGTGGGCTCACTGGAGGGTTCCACCAGTGGTTTTTGATTGTGGCAGGCCAGGAAAGGAGGGCTTGCCCCGGAGACTGCCCGAAGCAGTGGCACCGTGGAGGCCTTGCAGCGGAGCCCTCCTGACCAGGCTGTGGTTTTGCCTCTGTTTATTTTTGTAGGGAGTGAAAGAAGTGACCCTTTTGGGTCAGAACGTCAACAGCTTTCGAGACATGTCTGAGGTGCAGTTTCAGTCAGCAGCAGCCCCTGTCCTCAGCCGTGGCTTCAGCACAGTCTACAAAGCCAAGCCAGGAGGCCTGCGCTTCGCACATCTTCTAGACCAGGTGTCCAGAATTGATCCAGAAATGAGGATCCGTTTCACCTCTCCACACCCCAAGGATTTTCCTGACGAGGCAAGTGTAAAGTGAATACCTGCTTGCAGGCAGGCAGCTCTGAGGTGCCTGATGTGGGCTGTGCTTCCTTCCTGAAGGGAATGTGGAGCCCCAGGATGGAAAGCAGCTCCTGGGAGGGGGGATGCCGGTCCTAAAGCTGGCAGCTTTGCAGTTTGCTGGCTTTCACCGGGGAAGACTCTTCCCCTTGGCAGCCTGGTGGAGCTGAGGTGTCTCCCCATTGCCCACCACAGGTCCTGCAGCTTATCCAGGAGCGACACAACATCTGCAAGCAGCTGCACCTCCCGGCCCAGAGCGGGAGCAGCCGGGTGCTGGAGGCCATGCGGCGGGGGTGAGGGGCTGCCACGGGGAGCCTGCGCCCACCCCTGATTTCGGGTGCTGGGTGGGTCCTCCTCAGCACTGTCACGGGTCTCTGGTGGGTGAACCCCTGTGTTGCTCGTTGCAGGTACACCAGAGAGGCCTACCTGGAGCTCGTGCAGCACGTGCGCGAGACCATCCCGGGTAGGGGCTCCCCGTGGCTCGGTCTGAGCACAGCACAGCTGGGCCTTGCTGTCCTTCCCCAGGGACACGTTCCCCTGCCCTGCGGGAGGGGTAGAGCCCTGGCTCTCTTACAGGAGTGAGCTTAAGCAGCGATTTCATTGCTGGCTTCTGTGGAGAGACAGAAGAAGATCACCAGCAGACCGTGTCCCTGCTGCGGGAAGTCCGCTACAACGTCGGCTTCCTCTTTGCCTACAGCATGAGGCAGGTGGGTGCAGGGCCTGGGGGCTGTTGCCCCTGGGTGTCTCCTGGATGCTGGTTTTCACCAAAAGACACTTAGAAATTATTGTAAATAATACCTAAAGACTTGTTTTATTGGTGCTGGCATGCAACCCTTCAAGGGCAAGCGGTGCTGCAAGAGCTGCCTTTATGCCTGAAGGCCTTTCCAGCTCGTGTGAGGGTTCCTGAGTGGTGGGCTGGGCTGGTTCTGCTGGTGCTCCACATGGCTGGAGGTGCAACCATGGGAGTGGCTGCAGAGACCTGGCTGCAGGTACATAATGCTTTGGTGATGAGGAACTGTGCTGATGTGGCCAGGCTGGAGACTTTGCCAGTTGAGTCTGGAGAGAACTGGTGAATTTTTAGGTGTTTCCATGAGAAAAGTGACTATTTGACAAGGCTCCTTTAGAATGCTTCCCACAGCAGAAGATGCTGGTGGGGAGGAGGATGGAAGGTTGGGAGATACAAGGAAGCAAAATGTGAATTACCTTTCTAGCACATGGGACTAGAGGGAGTAGGATCCATTGCCTGTCCGTGTGGGGACACAGGCCACAGGCACATCTCACACCTTCACCCAGCCAGTGACACTCAGCACCCTCCATCAAACCTTCTAGGGAATGGGTGATGCAGGAAGAATGTGAGGAACTAAAAAGATGTTGCTGGTGCTCAGGACCCGAAAATATTCCTTGAGATTGTAAACACGAGCTGAAACGTGTGGAAAGCTGTTGCTCGAAGAGCAGCCAAGCTGGCTGGGCCCGGAGGAGGGTCTGGTCTCGGGCTGTCGGGGTGCTGAGGGGCCACACTGTCTGCCCACAGAAAACCCGGGCCTACCACCGGCTGCGGGACGACGTCCCGGCGGGCACCAAGCGGAGGCGGCTGCAGGAGCTCGTCGCCGTCTTCCGGGAGGAGGCGGCCAGGGCCAACGCTGCCATGGTGGGCCAGGCTCAGCTGGTGCTGGTGGAGGGGGTGAGTGGGCCTGGGACAGGGCTGGCCCTGCCCTCCCCCTGGCCGAGAGGCTCTTGGGCTGTACGCAGCGGTTCCCACCTGCCTTTGTGTCCTGCTTTCCCCATGCGGTGCTGGGGCGCCAGGGCCCTGTCTTCATGCCAGGCAGACTGATGGGTTTCCCTGGAGAGGGGTGGGATGGGTTAGAGCCATGTCTCTGCCCAAGCACTGAGTTAGTGTCTTGATAGGGCAGGAGGAAAAGGCCTCAAGTTGCCCCAGGGGAGGTTGAGGTTGGCCCTGAGGAACAATTTCTTGCCCTGGAGGGTTGCCCAGGGCTGTGCCAGGCTGCCCAGGGCAGTGGTGGAGTCCCCACCCCTGGAGGGGTTCCCAAGCCGTGGAGATGTGGGGTGAAGGACACGGGGCAGTGGGGACCTGGCAGGGCTGGGGAAGGGTTGGACTCCATGAGCTTAAAGGTCTCTCCCAACCCAAACAATCCCGTGGTTCTAGTGCAGGCTTTGAAACGTTGGCTTTGCTGTGGGTGTCGGCACAGCAGCAGTGGCCACAGGACTCTGTTCCGTGGCACGGGTGACAGGGGGAGTGTGGGTTTCAGTTCTGGTGACAGCACCCCGTTAGCCCCGAGGCTGGGGGGTGGTGACATCCCCTCCTCCCCCAGCCCAGCCGGCGCTCGCCCGCGGAGCTCTGCGGCAGGAACGATGCCAACATCAGGGTGATCTTCCCCGACACGCAGCTGGAGGGGGCTGCGGGGCCCGCCCGGGCCCGGCCCGGAGACTACGTGCTGGTGAAGGTGACCCCTCTGCCCCCACGCTGCTCTTCCCCAGAGCAGCTGCTGCCACCACAGCCTAAAATTAGAACGGATCCCTCTCGGCCTTTCTGTCCTGAGGGCTGCTGTGCTGCTTCTTCCAGGTGACCTCTGCCAGCTCTCAGACCCTGAAGGGAGTTCTGCTGGCTCGCAGCAGCCTCGCCCGCCCCGCCGCTCCTCCCTGAGGCGTCCAGCAGGCAGCAGCTTTTCTCCAGGAAGGAACAAAGAAGTTTGGTTGGGGGGGTTCAGGGAGGAAGCAGGGAGATAGATGTATATTTGATTATATACATGAAATAATCATTGTTACATGTCCTTCTGTTTTGGCAACAACCTGCCCCTCAGGTCCGTGCCAGTTTGTCGGCAGAGGGCTGGAAGCTGTGCGTGGACTTGCCAAGCCCAAGAGCTGTGTGATGTTGTGTTCCCACTCGTTCTCACCCTTGCAGGGCTGTCCTCGATCACGTCTCTGCTGCAGCACAGCCTGAGAAGGTTCTGCCAGGCAGGGCATTGCTGTGAGCCCTGTTGGGAGCTGCAGAAACTGGTCCTGCCTGCAGAATACAGCTCCAGTCACTGCTGGGGAATGAATGGCAGCAGTGCTGCTGAAGGGAACAAAGAGCTCAGGGAACAGGAGATTGTGATGAGTTCTTTCTAGATATTGTTGACTTCTTTATCTGCAAAATGCTGGGAAGAGGGAAATGAGAACCTGCACCGTGCCTGTGTGAGGGACTGTGATGCTGTGCTGTGGAGTATAAAATGCTGTTTAATGTGCACAAGTGATCTGAGGCTGCAGGGATGTGGCATTGCCCTTGTGCTGGAGATGTGTGGGTCTGGGTTAGAGAGACTTTCCCCATCTCCAGGCCCCGGGGGTGCAGGGTGAGGTCTGGCTGCCAGCCGAGGTTCCGTAGGTGCAGCTTTGTGATCTGTGGATGTCCCTCCCTGTGCTCCCTAGGGGAGGGAAACGGTTGTACTGGTTTAAATGGCCAATAAGTGCCTGAAGTACTTGGTACAGTTCCTTGTTTTGCTCAGCCTGCAGCTAACCCTGGCTGCACTGTGTCTTAGTCCAGCTGGGGCTGCTGTGTTCAGGTGAGTGCCTGTAACCTGCACCTGGAAATAAACTCTTAAGAGATGGGGGGAATAATACAGGTAATCATGTTAATAAAAAAAGTTATAAAGGCTCTATCCAGTGACAGACTGAAGGAACAGCTGATCGATGCTTAATAGAGCAGTTGCTGCATGAATTTGCAGAATTTTTAAATAAACATGAAAGGGTTTTGCTAGAAAGTCCTCTCTCAGCTCTTTCTGGGATATAATTGTCTCTCTTTGAAAACAGCATGAATATTCATTAGACCTCAGTTTAAGAAACAAATACATCGTGCTCGTTATCTCGGAGCCAATTCTCTTCACAATCAGCACAGTCTGTGTGGGGGGCTCCGAGCTGCTCACACATCCACGGGACTGTTTGCTCTCCTGCCTCCAAACCTCCTGGGTGTTAGGCCCAAATTCACACCCCCTGGACCTCTGCTGCCATGTGAGCAGGAGCCTTGGACCAGTGGGTTCTGAGGGAGGAGGCAGTGAGGGCTGTAAGCAGCATCCCTCAGATGGGTCAGGCACTGGAGCCACCACATGCTACCAAAACCAGGCAGGTAAGTGCCCAGGTTTAACTGCCTGGCAGCTTCTCTTTGAGCTGGTTTTTCCAGGCACCTTAGGTGGGGAAGGGGAAGGGCTTGGGGAAGGGAAGGGCTGACCCCAGCTCTCCCCGCTCCACCCGGCCCCGAGCGCTGGGGGCACTTCACAATCATTATTTTAAGAGGGAGAGACTGATGCTGAGCAGAGCTGGCTGCACGTTCTGCTGGGAGGTGATAACACTCGCTGCACAGACTCCCCCAGGAGCCCTTTGCCTCGCCTGCTTAGTTTTTATGGGCCTGGGGATGGAGGCAGAGGCTGGGAGGCAGCGAGGCATCTATTAGGAAACGCTTGCTGTGACCTTGGAGGCCGAGTTTGGCACTGCCTGAAAGTGGGACTGGGATTTTCTCGAGGCTGGGGTGCAGTTCTGTGTCACTTGTCAGGAGATTTGCTCCCTGAATTGGGCTGTTGGGAGGGCTGAGCTCGGGTCTCGTGTTCCTCCTGCTCGTTCCTGACCGTTTCTTCTCCCAGGTCCTGAGCAGGGATGAGAGCCTTGAACTCCACAAGACATTACATCTCCCACATTGGTTTGTACCTGTGTCTTCTCCCGCTGGGAGCTGCCCTGTTGCAGCATTTTGGCACAGCCTGGGGGGTTGTCTGGCAGGGCTGCTGCTGTGGCTCCGACCCAGGACCCTGCTCTGTGCAAACACACCATGTGCTGCACCGTGGGGAAACTCCACCCCAGGGGTCGGGACCTGGGCTCGGCAGGGGTGTGACTGGGACCTGTAACCAGCTGAGCAGCCTCCCGGGAGTTTTATTGTCCAGAGTGCAGTGTGTAGAGGCCCTAATTTCAACCAGTTTTGTAAGTGGCCTCATAAGATGCATTTTGAAATGATGCCCAGTCCTCACCTCCAGTATCCTGAGCTCTGGAACGGGTTCTGGTGTGTTCCTGAGAGTCTGTTAGAAGCTGACAGCTGGATCCTGGTCTTGTTCTCCTGGAGAAGAGCTGCTGTCAGCCCTGCCAGGCTCCACTTGCTTCTGGGCACAGGAGGGGATGTTCCTCAGGGGCAGGTTGGGTGCTGGGTGGTATTTTGTTGTAGGGATGACTTGGGAGTCTTCCTCAGGTCAGCCCCACAACTGGAAATCCCTCCTCACCGTGCAGCCCCAGGGTTGCTCTGTGCACTCCCCTTCCTGTGTCCACTGGGGAATGGAAACTGCTGGCAGTGACACCACCTGAGCAGATGTCACCAGCCTCGGGAAACAGCAACAAAAGAGGCACTTCAGAGCAGTGGAACTATTTGTTCACCTGGGTTTGGAGTTACCTGCTTGCTCTTTCTGCTCTTTATATCCCTGCAGTTCCAAGTTTGTACTCCCAGCGTTGGGCAGAGTGGATTCCCTAAGCTAAGGAGACCAACCACCTTTTAACCCAGCTCTGAGGCATTCCCAGGAAAGACTCAGGGAAAGGCACAGAAGTCTCAGTGGCAGCCTCTGCCCAGGTCCTTTGCTGAGGCAGATTCTCTAGGTAAGGACCAGGGGCTGACAGGAGCTGGGCGAGGTGCATGAAGCATCGGCACGAAACACCCCCAGTGAGGAGCCCCAGAGCCCCTGTGGGCAAACCTCCTGAGGAACCTGTGCCCATGGGGGACCCTCACTGGCCACCTGCAGGGCTGGCTGCTGAGGTGGCAGCTCCTCAGCACACCAACCCACCTGCAGGAACAGATTAAAACCTTCCACAGCCCCCTTCCCTGGGCTAAAACCTTCCTGGGCCCCCGTGTCCCAGCCAGCTGCAGGCACAGGCACCGTCCCTGCCTGGGGCCCAGGACCTGCTCCCCAGCTCTGCAGCCCCTGCCCTGCCACCTCAGCCACTCGTGTTGCTTTAATTTAGTTTCTGATTAAAGCAAAGCCTTATTGCAGGCACAGCCTCTGCTGCCCGAGCAGGGCAGCTCCAGGGACCCGTTCCCTGTCACACCCTCTGACTCCACAACTCCCCCGGGTCCCTCCTGGGCTGCAGCAGGATGGGGCCGGGCTTGTGGGTGAGCGTGGCTGGATCCTGGTGCTGCACAGCAGCTCCCCACGGGAGCAATGCCAGCGCCGGCACCCTGCCCTGTCCCACAGCCCCCGGCAGGTCCCTCCAGCCTGTCCCACTGCTGCAGGGTGTCGGGGTCCTGCGGTGTCCTGTCCCCCGTGCTGCACGGGCTGAGCCGTGTGGGAGGACGTGCTGGGCTGTGCTTACAGCAGCACCCGAAGCCCGGCCGGTCCTTTCGGGGTGAGCGGAGCCCCGCCCAGCCTCGCCTCTCAGCAGCAGGCTCCTTCCCAGGCAGCTGTCCCGGGGTCCCACTGGGGCACACACAAACCCCTCCACGCCTCCCTCCAGCCAGTCGCGCCCCAGTTACACCCCTGGGCAAACACCTAACGAGCCGTTTGGCAGCTCAGTTTTCTGAGCACAGATCTAAAGTGCTGGGATGACATTTACTTTCCAGCACTAGCTGTGCCCCGAGGCATCTCCTGACACCGGGATTTCATAACTCACAACCTGCACGCTTTCCTTCTCTGCCTGCAGCGTGTGTTGAGCAGAGCTGGACATCACCAGGAGCACACAAACAGCTTCACGGGGTGGAAAGGTCGCTGTCAGCGAGAACAAGAGCCGGGTTGTTCTCCGGAGCCCGTTCACCCAGCCCTGAGGAGCAAACCTGTCACCCTCAGGTCTGGGCTGTGCTCATGGAGAGGAGGGGGGGACAGCAGCGGGTGCTCTGAGCCAGGGCTCATCTGCTCATCGTGCTGATGCTGGCCTAAGGACGACCTCAGATGCCCACCCTTGTCTGCCCTGCCCCTGCCCAGCCTTGCTGCCTGCCCCCGGGCTCGCTGGCAGCTCGGGCAGAGCTGTTGGGCTTTTCCCAAGGCAGAGCTGGCTGCGGCGTGTCACGTCCTCCCCCAGAACCCCCAGAGCTCTGCAATCTGGTTCCCCTCTGCATGTCGATGAAGTTGGAGGGGAAGATTGACGGGTTCCCTGGTGGCAGCTTGTCGCACAGTTTGCTGCAGGTCAGCCGGGGACCTGTGCTGTGCTGCGGGGGGGGGGGAGGAGGGGCAGTGCCTCGGAGCCTGCCTGCTTCCTCCCCTTGCCTCCCGGGGTCTCCCTGCAGCAGGCAGGCTTCGGGCACTTGCCAGCCCGTTTCCCCCAGGCCTCCTCCTCCTCCTCGGCTGTGGGCTGGAGCCCCACGGAGGTTTCCTTCAGTGGCTTTTTCATCACTGTTCCTGGAGCCAGTTCTCTGCACAAAGCTTAGAGATTTAATGCAACATAAAGAACTTTCAGAAATGTTTTCTGTTTCTGAAATCAGTTACACCTTTA